AAATAAAAACATTTGAATCCCATAAAGTCCTTGGACTATTCGGAGGTGAGCCCACCAGTTGTACTTCAGATTTTCTGAAGAAAAGCTTTTTTAGGCACGACTTAGTGAAAACTCAGATCTATTACGACCGAAAGTAAATTTCAGTAAAATCTATAATCCGCTTACGCGGTAAAAATTGTATAAAAAATTGCGAATTCAACGGTATTCTTATTTTTTTCTACCTTTAATAATGACTGAAATATTGATGAGTAAAATGGTGTTTTACGGTAAGGGCGACCGCTTTGCTCCGCATCGCGATGTGACGTCACAAAACGACACGTCGATGCCACCACTAGTCTTTATTGTTATATTTTTCTTATTCTCTCCATATTTATTACTCCATATTTTTCTTGTCATGTTTACCTAGTTTAGGCACCAGTTTTTCACCTAGCAATAGTATTGTATCGTATACTTCCGAGCGCGCGGTTAGTACTGAACTTAGCAAGTTCCTACTGCACGTTCGCTCTCTCGGATTGTGACGTCACGTCACAGAACGAGCGGATAAAAATTAAAAAATATTGCGAAGCTTCAAAATGTTATAACTTTCGTATTTCCCCACCAATTTGGATGAAACAAAAACTATTGTTTTTTTCATAAACATAGCTTTAAAGCTATATAGGTTTTATTGTCAAATTAGAACATGTTGGTGTGACCCATTCCTGTATTTCTAAAGGCAGTCAGTATAATAATATGTTTGTTACTTACAAATGTTATACAATTTTCAGAAATTATACGTTACTTACATTTATTGGGTTCCTATTTTATATAGTAAAGTAATAGTTTCAACTTTAATTTTATATTGTAATAATTTTATTAATTAATATTATCTGTGAGAATAAAATTTTTAAAAAGAAAAAATAAATACCTGAAAACAATAAAATAAATACATAATTGGAATAAAAGTTAATATATTAATAAAGTTTTACTTCAACTGTATTAGAGTGAGCTGTCAGTGAAAACGAGCAAACAGATGATGTTTTGTGATTACTGGAGCATATGGACGCCGTGGACACCTACGACCAAAGTCTCTCAAGCTAAGAAGTCTACTGAAGCCTTGCCACTCTCCAGGATAAAGACTAAGAGAATGAAAAGCTTCATACACTGTACTTGTGATTCTCTTATAATCATCTCTTTATCCGGTTTACAGTTGGTAGTGCACCACTACTTGGTGGCAGAAATAGTCAGAGAGTGATATCAACGCAGACGGAAAACGGAGAAATGAAACCACACATTTTTCTATCCACTTCAAAAAGGAGACGGTACTCAATTCGACTGTATGTTTTTTTATGTGTGTTACCTCATAACTTTTTACTGGGTTAACCGATTTTGATGACTCTTTTTATTTTAAAGCTGATGCTTCACATATGGTCCCATATAAATTTGATCAAGTTTTGACCAATAGTTTTTGAGTTGTTTTCAATAATTTATATTGAAGTCGGTTGAACAAAATTTTTAATTTTTAATTATTTTACTTAAAAATAATGATAATAAACCAGACGGAATACACACAATAAGTGGATGTTGCGACTCTTTGGTATATCTATTATTCTCGATTAAGAATTGTAATGCGTTGTTTCTCCTGAGTCTATGAGATTTCATTACTCTCCTCTCCATACACTCACCAAACATCATTTTACTGCTACTTTAGACTAGTATTTTTTAAATGCAGTAGCCTGTAGAAAACTTTTTCAGTATTATATTTATATTACAAAATACTTATTTGATATTGATTACCGAGTACAAACTTTAGTTAAGCGAATTTATTAATAGTTTGACTATTATACGACAAACTAATAGCTTTGTTGTAGTTTAAATACTAATGTATTCTGGATATTAATGTCCTCTAGGCTAAATTTCGTTCCGGAGGCCAGTCTCAGCGTAGACACCAGCCATCTGTGTCTAACAAGTGTGCGCGCAAGCACAGCTGTACTTGCGACAAGTAAGCTATTCCGACACGACCGGAGGGAGATGAGGTGAAAAACCAACAGCTTTCTGTCACCGTGAAATACCGCCAGCTTCGTCTTCGGGCTGCTACTGAGTTCTTGATAGAAAAACCTAATAATTGATTTTAGCCCAACCCGGAATTCAAAGTCGGGACGCCCATGATCAGTGGTCACTAATGCGCCTACAAGATCAACTAAGTAGTCTAATTCTCAATACTATGTTGTAGATTTTCACTGTTTACTGTATGTTAGGAATGAGGGTAAAATAATAAAGGAAAATAAGAAGAATTAAGGGTAGAAATGTAATTTCCTAGTTGTTCTTGCAGTATAAAGTGTCGTGCAGTCGACTAAGAGACATCTGCGCCCCCTTTCCCTAAAGGAGGTCGCATCCGATTCTGCAGAAAGGCCATACAGGCCAATGCCAGTCCCACAGGTGGTGTTTAGTGGGTAGGCACTTCTTAGTGAGTCCCACATAACCACGCAGCCAGCTGCCGTGGTGTGCTATGAGCATTCACCACCTCCCTCCCCCGCTTCCGGAGGGTAGCCTTGCAATAGGCGCAAAAAAAAAAACTAAGAGGGATCAGTCTGTATTTCTACGAGTCTATGTCGTTATTATGTCCGTTGAGCTAAAACATTACCTCTCCACACTGAGATTCTGCCTAAGTAAGACAAGTGCTTACGAACACAGGTCTCTATACAAAAAAATTGTACAATTAAGTAACCAGCGTCAAATAGCAACTTAACACTGCTGTGTTTCGTATGGTGAGTGTAGAGAACCGGAGACCCTTTTTACTCGCAAAGAGGCATTCCATCTTAGTCCTCACGGGTGACAACGCATCTGCATCTTGAGGCTTTATTGAGGATAGATGTAGATGTCTATGGGTCGCAGTGGCCACTTACCATCAGGTGGACTGTGTGCTCGTTTGTCACCCTATCCTATAAAAAAAAACCTTCTTTTTTGTCCCCTATTATTCTTTATCAACTCGTAACAGTCCACTGCTGGATATGGACCTCTCGTACTTTAGAAAGTATTTGCCAAAATCGCTAAAAGTTTTGCGGACGGATTGGTGAATGCAGTATGATGTCATACGGGTGTTTGATGTGATACTGCTACTCGTCGTAGTTCTTTTCACATTTAACATAAAAGAGATGGAATACCAACACACCTGCAATGAATTTAACAAAATAATAGATTGATAATTCTATTTTATTAAGTGGCGATTCTTAATGCTGAGCAAAAAAAAAATCATAAGACAAAGTACATTAAAGTTTTTCTTTAACACAATGAAAGCTTACGCCAATTAGTTGATGGAGCCTCCTTTTAAGCCCATAGTGCCTGTAGTAGGAAAATACTACATAAACAAATTAAAAATTTGTATTGTATGTAGGGACAAAATAATTTAACTGTCTCAATTTTATGTACAGTCAGGTACTAATTAATTCGATGGATAACTTTTATGCGACGATTAATGAGTCGGTCCTGTATAATTATATTGTTTATTTAATTACTTATTTTTAGTTTCCTTCAGTCATAATTGTCTCAAAATTATACAATATACAGACACTTCCAATTTATATTTTTATCATATGTATAGATTAAAAATCAACATTTACTTTAGATATTTTGCCAATTAAAAATAAAAAATATAATGAACAATTACGATAATTAGCAACGAGTTTCAGAAAAAAAGTAAAAATATATACATAGTTTTATTTTTATCTGAAGGTTAATAATAAAGGAACCCTGTTATTCAAAGAGCGTCAAGTCAGATCCATGAGTCGCAATCCGAAATAAAACTATTTGCCAATTTAGTGAGGTGCGTTGTGAGATTTTAGTGTTATCGAGATGATTAAGACATCGCTTGCGTTAATTTTTCTTATCGGCTATCGCTGTTCGCTTGAACTGAATTGGTACAACATACGGACAGTTTGTCCATGTTGAGATTGATACGGCATTTTTAAATATAATTTTTCATGTGCTCTTTCTGTCCACTACATATTGATGAATAATTCATCAATTTATATGGTAAATGATCATCGATCACTAATAAAAAACTAGATACACAGTCAGTGACAAAAAATGTCTTTACCGAATGAGCGCCCACTCGAACATAGGGTGTGCTTTTAATCTAGTAGCATTCGAATGCTTCAATGGTAAACATGCCTCAGTGCTCCTTTAAAAAGAGTAAAAATCACACATTCAGGACCCTAAAAAAGGATGGAATTTCATATTTTACATTGTATTTCGATGTAAATCCGCAGCAGTTAGATATTGCAGCATCGCAATAATATGCGTAAACATGATTCACATCTTTCTGTAGCCGATATATCGCTTTTTACACGCTTTGTATTAGATTTACCTCTATGCATCTATCACAAACATCACATTAGTTTGGCTTGCATGTGTCTATGTATTTATAAATATATTCAAATTTTCTCATTCAGTTTTCACCCTATTCTAACTCAGACGTCTAGAATGGGGATTCTAGACGTCCGAGTTATCTAAAAATTTGCAGACGCATTACCAACCAATGACAATAAAAAAATTTTAGGATATGAGTAACAAACGAGCACGCTGTCCACCTGATGGTAAGTGATTGCTGTGGCTCATAGAGTCAATACCGTGAAGACTAATTGGAATGCCTCGTTTCCAGTAAAAACGGTCTCCGGTTCTCTACATTCACAGCTTTTTTTATTTTATGTCATGGTAAGAAAGACGCTGCTGCCCGTCTCTTGATTTGTTTCCCTCTGTCATCCCTTACGTCACTCATGGGCTGATATGAGGTACTGGATATTCTTACACCGCCACTACACGGGTTTATTGAAATGAAGTAATTCGCGTAAAGTAAATTTAGTGTAATTAAAAAGCTTTAAAAGCTCAAAATAGCGACAGAGCATCGATACAGCGAAGGACATCCCTATTTAGCGGCTCTCGTGCCGCGTGCGGCCGTATCGCTCGACAAACTGCCCGGGCGCCCGGCAGCACATCCGAACGAACGAACCGCCAACACCCGCACCATTATCAACGCGAACGTGTTTACTTAACTAATCCGTTATCCCTATTGCGAATTATAATATTTTTAAGAGTGTAGTGGTGAAATTAATTGGATTTTATTAGTGTTATTTTTAGGTGAGTGTCTCTTTTTGTATTTTGTAGAAGCGTCTCTTGCGCAATATTTTTAACGCGCGCGTTTTAAAATTATGATGTTTATTTTATTTTAAATTTTAATAATCCAAAACATTTACAAAATCATTAGATTTATATATTATTGAATACATATTTTATTTAATGAATACGTCGGCTTCCGACTGGTGTAAAACCGTGTTTCAGAAGCCAGTGTTTCCTATTATTATTTTTTGTCTTAAATCGTTTTTTAAATGACTTTTTTATTGAGAGCCGTGGTAGCCCAGGGCGTAAGTGCTCGTTGTAAATTTTACAGTACGCGAGCAGCCCAGGTTCGATTCCTGTAGGCACCAATGACATTATCAATTGCAATTTTAACTCCTGATTTACCATGTGCTCAGCGGTGAAAACACCGTGAGGGAATCTGAATGTTTAAGAAATAACATACTTCCTTGTCCTAAAAATCTTCTTAGAATTAAGAGGCAGGCCAGACTTGTAATAGGATGTAATTTTAACTTTATTGTTTAGGTACAAAGGGTAGGTAGACTCAAGGGGGTGTTTGGTACAAATCATTCTGTCGATTATTTATTTATTTTAGGAATGCTTAAAATAAATAAGAATTAATAGGAAATAAGTAATAAGAATTTCTCATGACCAGCCTACACATTTTACTTCCAACCGATTCTATGGAAATAATATTAACCATTCTACATTCATGAACAGTATTCTTAGTTGAAGTGTCGTACGCATCAGTCTTGTTGTCTACCGCTGGATATAGGTCTTGTCAAGAATGCTCTAGCTGGCGTGCTTACTTGAAAAATATGCCTCGAATTAAGAAGAATAAAGCCGATGCCTTGGTACTAGTCTAAGTACTAGTTTAAGACAATGCAACCAGCATTGTCTTAAACTTTTTATTGATGTTAAAAGTTTAAATTAAACGGTGTTTATAGTTAAACACTTTATAATTATCTACGATCTACTATATATTATTACGAGTTTTTACATGTGTTAGCGCCATGCTACAGCTATATTATGGTAGTATCATGAGTGGGTCGTTTCGACCGAGGAAGGACCACGCTCTCACAGAATACCAACGTGGAATAGCAACTTAATAATGCTGTGCTTACCCTTTTTATTGGAAACGAGCAATTGTAATTTTCAGAGATGACAACGCATCTGTACTTTGATTCTTAATGATGTAAAGATATCTATGGGTCGCAGCACCCACTTACCATTAGGTGGACTGTGTGCTCGTTTGTCAACCATATTGTATAAAAAAAGCTACAGATGAAAATCACTGTGATATATTTACATGACCTCGTTAACATACGTTTGGTACGAGAATATTCAACGGAAATGATCGCTAAAATGATTCAAATGAGACACTACAAAATATAAAGAACAGTATAAAAAGCTATGAAGGTTGATGCATTTTGGAAGCACTTTTATTTTTGGTTTAAGTAATTTTCCTTATTAAACTGAAGTGACAAACGAACTTAGAGCTCAGCTCTCAGATGGTAAGTGGCCAATGCAGTCCATGGACACCATCTTTAAACTAAGGAGGTTACAAATAGTTGTCACCTCTGAGAACTAAATTAGAATACCTCACATGTTTATATACTGACTCTATATTCTTTTGACTGGAACCCAGTAACTCAAGCACTGCTTTTTGGCGGCAAAAGTAAGTAAGAATATGGTACCCGTAGGCTAAAACAGTACTATCGACTAATAAAAAAGTTTAAAGCTTGAAAGTTAATCTATAGCAACAAAAATTACTTTTAGGCTTCCGTAGCCAAAGGTAACCAACAGGACCCTATTACTAAGCCTCTACTGTCCGTCCATCCGTCAGTCTGTCTGTCTGCGGGCTGTATCTTATGATCCGTAATAGGTAGACAACTGAAATTTTCACAGAATGTGTATTTCTGTTGGCGCTATAATAACAAATATCAAAAATTAAAAGGGGCTCCCCTACTAAAAACGTGTATTACGGTACGGTACGGTATCATGGTGCGGAACCCTTCGTGCGCGAGTCCGACTCGCACTTGGGCAGTTTTTATTTAAGGTTATTCTTATTATATGTAAAAAGTTAAAACCATTCCAATACGGGCTAGGAAAGCTTTTATTACTTGATATAGTTTTCTACCTACGTGAGATTTTTATACCGCTGCTCACTTCTAAGTACTGCTTGTAACGCTGCACTAGTTCCTTTAAACTTTTTGCACAAAAGATCTCCAGAAAATCAACCTGTTGAAAATGGCAAATAGTGTATAACAGCAGTCTTGAGTTTCTCGTCATCTTTAAACCGTTCAATAAGGTTTTGTGTTCCAAATACTGCGTCCAATGAAAAGAAATTAGCCAGAGCACTTATCCTCAACCTTATCGCAAAATCGATCCACTAATTGCACGATTTCATCAACCATACTGTGTATCAAAATTCATTTTGTATAATAGTATTTATGTAAAAACTATTTTAATACCACTGACAAAATGAGTGATGTACGTAATTTTAACACTCTTTACAATCTAATTTTACCGCTCCAAAGTACAGGCTCCATTATACTAGCGGCTCATTTTTGGATAGATGTGTAAAAATTTGTAACAAGATACCTTGTAATATTACTGATTTGTCATTACATAATTTCTAAGAGTATGTGAAAAGGGTTTGTTTTACAAATCTGTTGATTAAAATGCGTAGAAGTAATGACCTTGACGTTTCTTTTTCGTAATCTTTATATATAAAAATTACGTGTCACGTTGTTTGTCCGCGTTGGACTCCTAAACTACTGAATTGTTTTCAATGAAATTTTGCACACTGTGTGCATTTTGGTCCAACTTGAGAGATAGGATTGTTTTGTCCCGATAAATGACCCTCAAATTTTTTTATTGCGTATTTAAGGATTTGCATAGGAGGGGTCGTTGGAAAGGGCAGAGCAACGTCTGCCTGGCGAGCTAGTAATATATAAGGTTAAATTATAATTGTAGGGACAAAATACTCTTTTTGTGTTTCTTGCCGTTTATTCGCACAAGACCTTCCACAGTAGAGACTTATTAAAACGATGGCGTAGATTTCTTGACTTTCTTAAAGTGCTTTGTAAAGGCCAAATTTGAGTAAAATATTATGATTTGATTTAGACCTACAACTCCTTCTTCTTTCTTTTAAACAAAGGAAAATTTCTGAAAAAATTGAACAGCTGTAGATTCTTTTTACTTTAAAATTTACAAATGTCTCGCCGTTTGTAAAATGTTTGCAACTATTTTTGAAGCTATTGTTGTTTGTTTACAAGTTTGTTTACAAAGACATTGTAAACAAAGTACCAATTTTATATGATGCTATATTCGGTGTTCTTCTAATTTATCAGCGCAAAAAAATCCACTGCTGGCGGGCCTCACTCGTTGTAGTGAGAATTTACCTTAATCTTCGCACTTGGCAAGCGAATTGACGTTTTCAACACCAGACGTCGCGCAACTTCGACCTCGTCTGGCGTAAAATATATGGTTATAACACCATATATTGGCGTAAGAGTGTCATTCATTACCGCATATTGTCCCCTGGGTGTCGATAGGCGAAGGTGTTAGAAGAAAATTTAAATTAGAGACAGGTAGTAACATTTATCTGATAAATGTTCAAAATAGAGGTAATTTACTGTGGACGAATAGACCATGTCCAGCAGTAAACTTTTGTTATGCTGTAATTGGAGTGAACAGAATTACAGTATCTTGATTGGCGGCCTCTTTAAAATACATGAAAAACGCGCCGCTTCGGCATGCGCCTCGTTGAAAGCTCTCTACTAGCCTAGAGTTTAGTAAACTATTTAGTAATCTGTGCCCAGAGTGATGAAAATAAGGGGATGTGTTATCAGAACAAAAGAATTCTTTCCGAGTTTATCGCACTGAACTGCTATCTAAATTTGGCGCAATCTGGGCAATCTGCGAGTTTGAAAATCGCAGTTTTACTATTTTTTCCCGCCACATTGACGAATATTACGCTGGAAGAAGAAAGGAAATGGAAGGACACGGAATCTTGGCCAAGCGGTTATCTCGCGATAGCAAAAGCTTTAAGTGTTTCTGATGAATGTTTGTTATGCAGGTATGTCAAAAAATGTTTGCTCTCAAGTTCAAGAGGGTAATTCATTATGTTTAAGTGCACCATGACGAATTCTTTAATTTTTAGTTGAATCGGGTCATTTGAGCGACTAAGTTCACATTTTAAATTTGTGTGTTGTGAAAAGTTTACTGTAAGGTTATTCAATTATTGTGATCTTGTGTCTTAATTCAATAACTAAAGGTGCTTTAAAGCCAATAAAAATGCCATTAACACCAGCACAAGTTGCACAAGCAGTAGCATTAATTGACCAAGGGCTGACACAGCGTGAAGTTGCTATTGTGCTTAACGTACCACGGTCCTCAATGCAGTATTCACTGAAACGATACCAGGAGACAGGACGCTACACCCGCAGGCCAGGCAGTGGGGGCGTAAGGTGCACATCGGCCCGGGACGATCGTTTTATTGTTATGGAGATTTTGAGAAACCGCTACCTGACCGCTGTTGAGATACGCCAGCGGCTCCAAATCGCAAGAGGCGTTAATGTTAGTGAGCGTACGGTGAGAAGACGAATGGAGGAAGTGAATTTAAAAGCTCGTAGACCAGCACGAGGTCCAGAACTTCTCAGACAGCACCGAGTAGCCCGACTTCAGTTCGCAAGAGAACATGTCAATTGGACCCACGAGCAATGGGCTAGAGTGTTGTTCACAGATGAGTGTCGAATAGCTTTACGTGCTCCAGACGGTCGAGAACGAGTGTGGAGAAAAAGAGGAGAGAGGTTTCTACCCATTACCACCACCCAAACTGTGAGTTTCCATGGAGGCTCAATAATGGTATGGGGAGGTGTAAGTTCCGACGCACGTACAGAGTTGGTCATCGTCGATAATCGGCTTACAGCTACTCGATACATTGAGGAAGTTCTTCAGGAGCACGTAATGCCTTATTCGGGATTCATTGGACACGA